TAATTTTGAACACACGACATTTAGTTTCTGAGATCAAATTTCGGCGATTTATGAGTTACAATTCGGATTGTACATTCAGATCAAATGATGCAATAATGTTGGCCAAACTTTTTGTAAATCCGGTACTTTATGTAAAATTGCACGAAATTTGGGTTTCAGAAACTTACGTAAAATTACATATAATGTAAAGTTGTAATTTATGTAACACATCCCTAATTACAATAGATAATAAATTATGTAAAGAATTTTAAGCAGAAATATAATTGAAAGAAATACTAAATAAGATGTGTGGCGCGAATGCGCCACACATCGTACTAGTCGTTGATTACTGTATTGTAAATATTATATCAATTAAATTGTTTATAATAGTAATTATTCATAAATTACTTATTATTATATCTTACCTGTACATAGTTTAGTAAACTATTGGAAAGCTCATCTGATGATATGAACTTTACAATCACAAATTGCATCTTCATCCACATGCTGCAAATTTCAAGATTTATCTTGCATGTGTATTCAGTCACTTGGTGCGTGGAGCAAATTATTTTATAAAAGCTTTCAGCTTGCTTAATTAAGCGAGCCCTTCAATTTAAGAATTTGAAAATATGATATCTAATCTTTAAATTTGGGTTATATGAAAGGTCTGTATTTATTTTTTTATACGTTCAACACTCATTATAACAGTATTCATTTTTCTTTTGGCTAACAGTTTTATTTTTGTGGTTCCACAGTTATTAAAATTTTATTTAAGTCAAAGATTTGATCATTATTATTATTGTTTTTCTTATGTCACGTCATGTCGTAATATAGTACATAAATATAATATAATATAATATAGTATAGTATAATATAATATAATAATATAATTGATATAATATAATTAAATCATCAACTTAGGCCGTTCTCAAGCACCTCACTCAAATGGATCGGATGCAAAATTTTAATTAGTCGGAAATTAATAAATCAATCAAGTGAGTTACCATTTCAATCAACAAATCAACGGGATACAAACCACCTTTTTTCTCCAAAAATTTACCATTGATAAAGATCGCTCAAACACTACTTTTAACATATCAAACATAATAAACGATGGATTTACAACAAAATTCACCGGTCTAAAAAAATAGCCACTTTATTTTTAATGTCGAAGCTTTTAAAACAAATAATCGACGCCTCGATATGAACGTAATTAATACAACTCATCTTTTAACATTTAACCAAACCGTAATGAATACTGCTATTCCATTTTTTGCTCATATAAACTTAATAAATTTTTTTTTACTTCTTGTTGCTGCAAAGCAACTTTCGCTGATGATTCCATAAGCTGTTGCTGTTGCAACAAAAGGTTAATATTTGTAAATCATTAAAGGGAGAAGCCGAAGTAACCGAAGCTGAAGATTCGGCCATTGTGATGCTTGAGCGTCATCACAATCATTCTTTAATCAATTGATTTAAATGCTTAAGAACAGCTTTAATCTATTCTTCAATCGGTAAAATAAAATAATCGGTTGAATTTTGTGATTAACTCATAACAAGATACCTGAAAGTAGATCACAATTCTTAACAACTATAATTTAACACACCATAAAATCGCTCATAACTATTTGTCAAAATAGCATTACATAAAGCAATCATTTCCATTCCCTAGTATACTTCATTAAATTCACGCAAATAAATCATGTGCTAAAATTTAAATATAAAATATCCTCTAAAAAAGAAATAATTGTTTTGAAAGCAAATACTAGTATTAAATCTTTTTACTATTTGTCTTTCTTTCATGACCTATTTTACTGCATTTTTTTGGAACATTTTGGTTAATCTTTATCTAAATTTAGGACCATTATTAATTTCTGATACTCTTTGTTTGTGTAGCTAATACGTAAGAAAATATAAATGGCTGTGTTTTGTTATTAAAACTTATAAGAGCTTTATTAATTTAAACTTTAAACATAGCCATTTACATTTTATAAACATGCATGAAACATTATCATATTTGCAGAAAAGAAAAATCTTTTTTATCCATATATATATTATTATTTAAGTGAAAAAAACTATTTCTGGAAATGCTGCATAAGTAAACATAAGTAAGCCCTAAGAAACGTGATTGTCGATTTTTTTTAAGTGCGATAAAACTCTAGTAATCATTTAAATATGAATTTCTTGAAGTATTTTTCACATTCTTATTCTGCTTGGTCCTGAATGCTCAATCTTATATAATTTCACGAGAGGCTCCTATTCCTGTTACTGATGGATGTGTGTGCAAGTATTCATAATGATTTATTACAAAATAGAAAGTTAATTTAGTTATACCGATGCGATGTCATTGATTGTTATGAAAGTTATCATTTCATAAAGATGTTGCTTCAAAGGTTTTATATCTCTATATGCATATAAAAATAATATTCATAATATGCATTAAATTCCAGTACACACAATGTGTTCTGATCAATTATATGATATCTATATGCTAAAATTTCAGACGATCGATGCGCTAACTGATCTTATCAGTGGGTTCTACTCATTTTTGGATAAAGCAAAAGAACCTTCACAACCTGTATTTGACTTTAGACCACTGAATTTAATAACTGAATTAAAGCTTTTTCAGAATAAATTTTTGCAACTTTATATGATTTTACAGTAACATTCAATTTTCGTTTTATACCAATTTAATTATTATTTGAATTTCACACTAACTTCTTATAAAATAGATTGATATTACAGTAAATATCTCTTCAATGATTTAAATGATGCTCACACGATATTTAGTTCAAATTGCTCTGAGACATTTGTTTTTTATACAAATAACATTTTATTCCATTGTTGATAATTGAGAGCAGGTAATTTATGTTATCATTTGTCTAAATTTCATTTAGTATGTTTTTAACTATTTTTTTTATTTTTTTTTATTTTTTAGAATTTAAAGTCTTTAATGACGTAATTGACAGATCTAATATTGACTGTTAAGTAACTCGTATTGATGGTCAACAAGCATTCCAAATAATTTACGAATATGCCAACAAATTAGTTTATTGGTCAAGAGATCTTGGTATACGATTTAATATAACACTTGATCATACCTATGTAAACAAATCTTTTTACCATACTTTATGAAATAACAGAGAAGCTAAATATCACTTACGCACTTAAATGCGATAACACTAAAGAATTTGATGTTATAAGTTTAATAATTCAAAATCCTATTTTGATAATATTTGTAACCCTATCAAAGGAAGCAAGCAACCTGTATCTTCTAACACTAAATTAGCAATTAAGACCAAAGTGTAACCACAATAAGAATTGTTAATCAATTTGTTGAATTTTATAAAGTGCAAGATTTGGTGTTGTAAAAATAATTACGAACAACCCAGTACATTAACTACAGATGAGACCATAGCTATATTTCCGAAAGCAATTCAAGGATTTAAAGAGCTAATGAATGCAGGTATTAAAAGGTAATTAGCGATCTTTTATAAATGTTTTATTTAATTCATTTTATCTATTTAAAACATATATTTATTTTATTGTATATTTATTTACTATTAAGATTGTTCTTGACTTACTGACAACATTGGTGGATATTTTGTCACTACCATATTTTTCAATTTACTCTTATTGCCTAATGCTTATCCTATGTTTGCCCTTGATTTCCGAATTTTTGAACAAACGAGGCTTGCAACTACTGAAAAATTTAAATTTGCAACCTTAAATAATGCTTTCGATATGAGCGATTATGTTAACGCAAAAACTCATGCTAATTTTACAATTATAAATGTTGGTGTTATGGGAAATTATTCCAATAAATTTGTAATAAGCAACTCTTATTTGAATGAGTTTAATCAATTTATTCAAAATTTAGCTACTCCTCTGCCTTAGAAATCTGAAGATTACACCATTTTAACTAATGGTTATATGGTTCTGCATGTGCTCTTTTTGCCGAGCATGCTGCAAAATTTAATGATATTACTACTGTTGCTGTTGGTGGAATTGCAAGCAATCCTTTATTATCTTATTCTTCATTAATTGGTGGGTCTATTTTTACCTCAATAGAAATATTTGAGTCTTTATATATATTAGGTTTACTAAATAATAGTTTAATGCCTAAATCTTTTCCCTTGGCTGGAATGGATATTGCTTTTACTACGTATGAAGCGTAATTCAGATGAAATATTATAATTTACATTTAGACCTGCTGACTTTAGATTATTTTATAATGAAAAAAATATTAGTAACGTTTCTATTTTATGGTCTCAAACTGCAGCTTTAATTGGTTCAAAAAGATAAAAATTAATTATATTCTTATTAATTGCAATCGTAATATTCTATTATATTTAATTAAATAAATTTATAATCAAATCAATTTGTATATCTTAATTTGAATTTGATGTTGTTAATACAGCTATTATAAAGATAAATTATAAATTGACTAGAAGAAAATAGAATAATTTGTAGTAAAATAGAAATGTATTATAGCATCGATACAGATCGTAATAATTGTTTGGCATGTATAAAAATTATGTTAGAGACAATATTTAGATATGTATAAATAATATTTCAGAAAGAATGAATAAGTTGTTATCTGAAATACTTAAAGGTAATATGTTAGCATTTTCTACTTCACTACTTTATATTCAGCTTTCATGATCACATTAAAAAAAATCTTTTTTCTAAGTAGGTTTTACTATTTGTCTTCTAGAATATTCGCTTCTTTAACTACAGGATATATCATTTAGAGAGGTAATTATAATATTCTTTTTTGTACAACAAATATAATTTTGCCAATATATTGATATTTAATCGTTGTACCTTTGACTTATAACAGCCTTAAAACTGTGACTCGGTGGTATATGAAATTGTTGTAGGGTATATATTATAATATATGAAACTTATACTTTATTATTAGAATTGTCTTTCTCGGTGGGCCATTAAAACTAATAAAATTTGTACGCTTGTGTGAAATATACTTGATATGTTATCTTTACACCTATGCTATCTATACTTTTGATGCTATCGATGCGCCTAATACGCCTTATATTCCATCCACCTTATCGCTTATATTCACATTCGTTGCATGCTACGTTACAATGAATGTAACGAATGCGACCTGGGAACCCAAATTTGCAAATCTTCATACCTGGTAAATTTTAATTCTGTAAGCTGGTGTTAGTCACATGTCGGGTCACACTTATAATATGAAAACTGGGATTAAGGTCGCTCTCAAGCGCCTCAATCAATGAGTCAAAAAGTGTCTGGGAATAAATTTTACTTAGCGGAAAATATTT